CAAGGGCTAGGGCAAGGGCAAGCGTCGAGACGGAGAGCGCCGTGCGCGCGTCGCCCTCCCGCTGGCCGGGCTGGGCGCCCTGCTGGCGCCACGAGGACTTCCCCTACCTGACGGTGTCGGAGATGGTGGACTTTGGCGCCGGCGTGCGCGTGACGGCGCGCCACTGCTTCATGCTGGAGACGCTGAGCGTGCACGTCCGCCCGGCGATCTGCGTCAAGGGCGTCGTGGGCGGCGGCGAGGGTGAGGGCGATGATGATGACGACGACAACGACAACGACGGCGGCGAGGAGATCTCGGCGAACCCGGTGGAGAGGCTGGCGAAGCTCCGGGGGAGGATGATGGCTCAGCTGCACAGAAGTCGAGCATCCGGCAGCGCGCCGGCAGATCAAGACGGACGAGATAAGCGGCCACTGGGCAAGGGAGGTCCGCGCGGCCAGGAGGTGCAGTTCGCGGACGAGATGTGGGATGAATTGCTAGGCAAGGGCTTCATCTGCGGCGATGAGCGCTGGATCATTGGAGAGGACAAGGACGGGCGGATCACGATTGTGAGATTCTGATCCCTCTTACAGATTCACGTGCAACAAGACAGGCTGTAGCTGAATATGCCTAGATGTGATGGTAGTTCAGATAGTGGTAGTGTACAGATGGGTCTCAACGCTTGCGACTCTGTGCTCTACCTAGCTTACAGAAAAGAAAGAACGCCAACGCCAATGTTCCCCCATTTCCCAAGGATATTTTGCCGGGCTACAACGCCTCCCTCTTGCGCGCTGAAAATGCATGACTAGTTCTTCCAGCTTGGCGCAGTTATGATGATTACCTTCCCAGCTCTATCATCCAGCTCAAATGGCCAGCATCATGTGTCTCCGAGACCACTTCAGTATATCCGCTGCGTACAACTAAGGGCTAACGTTTCAGTTCGCCCCGTTTGGCACTTGGAGGAACCTGTCGTAATAGGTGTCCAGCCACCTAGCAGCATCTTCTCCCGCATCATCAATGCTGGAGTCCCATCTGCCTATCGAGCCGACGTAGCCATCCGGTCGCACGTTGACAATGGCGACCTCTCCTGGGCCGAGGCTTCCAAGCCACTTGTTAGTGCATAGCGATCCTCGGGTGTCTAGCTCAGGGATGTCATCGAGATAGAAGGTCCACCGACTATCTTGTAGTAGAGGGGGGAGGTCTGTGAGTTCAATATCACTCTTGGGCATGGTCGCTGTAGACGAGGTTAGTACATACTATCAAATGTTACAGGAAGGTTTTAGCTTACTAATGAGGCCGAAGGTGAAGAGATGGCTGACCGCCGTGTATCTCTCAGGGCGCATGTAGATATCCTCAGAAGCTGGCAACCTCGGTTGCTGGGCATAGGACCTGCTTGCAGCGGCGGACAGCTGGCTCACCAAGGAGTTATCAGCTGCGATCGCCTGACAGAAATTGTCTAGGAAGATTCGCGACTGGTGGACATCCCACATGAGCAGGTAGATCCTGAATTGTCCCAGCATAGGGATGTCGAGTTGAACATCTACAGGGTTGGAATCGATGTAGCGGGTCACCTTGGCAGGGGGTAGGAGACAGCCGGGCTTGGCTTCACCCATAACCCAGGTCTGGCTCTCCTGCATGTTGATGGCGTTCTCGCTATACTCGGCGCCGATGCCTGAAATGAAGCGGACGTTGGTCTTGAAGTTCTCAGCCAGTGCAACGGCGTCTCCGCCCGCGATCTGGTTGGCGTGTTCGTAATCGAAGTTGACCAAGTCCAGAGCAATCTTCCTCCGCTCCTCCTCATAGCTTTCTAGCAACGCTGGCTTGGCCATTCCTCGTACAGCGTAGTTCAGCTTCCACGCAAGGTTCCAAGAGTCGTGCATAGAGGTGTTCATGCCCTGCGCGGCCTTGGGAGAGTGTGTATGGCTAGCATCTCCGGCTAGGAAAGCTCTATGATGCCCGTCACAGAAGCGGCTCGCCACTCTCTGACCGATCTGATACCGTCCAAACCACTCAATATACTTCCAGTTGACGTCGAAAGGCGCCATAATTTCCTTCGCCCTTTGCATGACGAACTCTTGTCCAAGCTCCTTACTCCTGTCAGCGCTCTTCGGCCCGCTCTTCAGCTCGATGTAGAATCGAGTCATGTTCCTTTCTCGGGGAATGATCAGGATTGAGCCGTGCTCTTGTGAGTATACTAGTGTTTTCGACCAGATGTCGGGGAAATCAGTCTCAAGTTCGCCGTCCAGGACACCCCAGACGGCAGGTTGGGACATGCCCACGGGTTTCGCCTCGGGGATGCTCTTTCGCACCTTTGAGTGGGCACCGTCGCCTACAATCATGTTAGCTCATAACTCCGCTGCAGGGGACGTAATTGAGACGCACATCCAACTAAGTATTGCGACAGAATTGTCCTCCGGTCCTGGGTGACATTGGTTCTGCAATTGATTTGAAGAGCCGCGCCGACCTTGCTCGTGAGAGCGTCACAGACGCTGTACGACTCGAACGCCGTGTTCCTCCTCACCTCGATGCCGCGCTTCTTCATGTCCTCGATGAACAAGCTCTCCACCATTCCCTGGTGCACCAGCAGGATATAAGGGTCGAGCACGTCGATAACAGGCGGGTAGTGCACTTCGCGACCCAGTCGGTGCAGGGGCTGGTCGGCTGTGCCCCGCCAGAAGGCGATGTCGTAGACGCGCACGCCGCGCTGCAGCAATGGGTCGACTAGTCGCATTTGGCGGAAGGTCTCGATGGTCTTGGGCTGTAATCCGTCGGCTCTGTACGTACTCGTTAGCAGGAGGCTCTCTCAAGCATGCACACTCCTGGTGTTTTGCTGCTTCAAGGATGTTCAATCATGACATACCTTCCTACAGGTGTCTGGTCCGCTCGGTCATCCACGACCTGCACATTGATGCCCATGCGCGCCAGGTTCGAAGCCAACATCAGACCAGCAGGACCGGCTCCCACGACGCACACATTGCATTGCGTCGGGGCCTCTGGCATGGCGCGTAATAGGGTGAGGCGGTCGACGCATGCATTGTTCGTCTCGGTGGAGGCGAGGCGCCCGTCGCTAGTCAGGTCATCCATCGAGCTGCCGTCGAGAATGGCTGGAGCCATTTGGAGCAGGGTTGGGTGTTGTCTCAGAAACTTTGCCGAAGTTGCTCTCTCTTCAGTTTGGGTAATGTATCACAGCATCGGCGGGCGGTCAACGCCGGCAGGATGGAAGGTGGGCGCGACACTTGGATGCTAAGCCGAATTCTTGGTTTAGCGTGGGCCCTCGATCACCAGATGTTTTAAAGATTTGCAAGAAGCGGGCACCACGTTGACGAAGAATCTGTCTGCCAGTAGTAACTAGCAATATGGTGCAAAGTATAGCGGTGAGAGGTTCGCGCGTAGATAGTCGGACGATGACGATCCGGGCTCAATGGAGAGAATTGGCAAAAGGATGTATGTCGAGAGGAGGAGGCGCGAGTCGTGGGTTGTTCCACACGCAGAGCCGCAGGAAGGCGCACCGCAGGAGACAACGGTCAGAGGGTCGGACAGACGAGAAACGGCGGTGCGCGTTGATGGGAGACGTGGATGGGAGGTGGGAGGCGGGAGGTTTCTGGAGTCTGGTGGCAGACGGGTGTGTAAGTGTTAAGAAGAAGAGGACGAAGATGATGGCATCCGTGGAACGAAGTGAAGTTAATTAGTTAGACCAGACCTACGACCTGATGACACTTGATTCCCTTAGTACATGTACATGCGCACCGTTCGCCGCTCCAGTTAAAAGAGAACTCCTCTACAGTCCGGACAGTGCCTAGGTAGAACAGGCAGGCGCATGCAGGTATGGTATGGTATGGTATAACTACTCTACAGCGCCCGTTCTTCTTGCAGCGATTCCCATTCCCATAACGACGACGACACGGCGGCATGGCATGGCTGGGATGGGATGGGATGGCCTTCACCAATTTCGGGGTCGGGATCGGACGATGTGGTCTGATTCTGGAGCCACTGTGGCCGGGCTTGCGACACAATCTGGCCCCTCCCATTGGAAGGTGCCAGGGCCAGTGGGCTCCGGTGGCCCAGGCCTGGCATCGCGGCATCGTGCCCCTCCAGGAGGACCCCTAGAGCGCCCCAATGCGGCTAGCGCCACTTCACCTGCTCTGTCGTACTCTGTAGTAGAACCTGCCGCTGGAGGAAGTGGCAGGTCAGCCCATTCTGCTCCCCCATGCCCCTTCTGGCTTCTGGCTCCTGCCTTCTGGCACCACCAGCGCGGTCTGACCAACCACTTGGCTAAATGCTCCTGCAAGGCTCGAAATATCGGCCGGCTCCTATATGTAGCCTGTACTTCCCTCATCCTCCCCCATCTTTCGCGGTTTGTGTGTCAAGACCGCTTGGAAAGCCGTGTCTTTTGGGCGAGTTTGATATACTCAAGACACCGTCGTAAGTACTGGTACTTGTTGCAAGGGGCATCGTTCTTCAAGGCGTCTCTTCGCAGCATCTCCAACGCCCTTCAGGTAAGCATACAGCTTCGCCGGGCAGCGTACTGTCTCTCGTTTCAGAGAAGACGACCTGGACTGCAGCAGGCTCGTCGGCCCACATGCTGATAAGATCTGCACTACCCTCTCGCGAGTCTTGATATTAGAACGAACCACACTCCCTCGCTAATCAGTCGCTGCATTCGATATCACGGCCGCCTCTCTCGCTTCGTCACAGTGATTAAACTCCATCCTCCATGTCCGATTCCAAGAATGGGGGGAACGCATACCCCGCTCCGTCAGTCGATGATCAGCAAAGACGTCAGCTGTGATTGCGTCTTGGTGTGTTCTAGATGGATTCGGTCCTTCTGTTTTCCTATCTACGCAGAGGTTACTCAATCCTCTGTCAGCAGTAAGGCTTGAGCATTGAACATGGAACATTGATGAGATTTACACAAGAGATAGAGCCGCGTGTGACAAATCAACGGGATGAATTCCTCCACGAGGGCAATAAACTTCAGTTCGTCGAGATGTGATTACCCACCTCGACGAGGCGGTTACTATCTTTGAAGACTTGGTAGAGCCCCAGTAAGAAACAGTGTCTCGCAATGT